TTTCACCCAGATTGAGTTGTAAGGATCAGCTGTTTCCATGTTGTGATCCTATGTCCAGAGTGATATTGTTTGTCCACCATATCCACAATCAAGTTCATATGAATCCTGGGTAATACTCCTCTAACCATGAGCACGCATTTGCCCACTGAGAAAGGTATAAATGTAACCAGCCAATCCAGACCTGCCTATCTGAACATTTGCGGACCCCTCAGTATATAAGGAGACAGATTCCTGTGTGTGACATCCTACACCCTCTTCAGCGAGCCACAAAGCAGTGTCAGGGCCCCTATGCAGAGGGTTTCATCTGTGCTGATAGAACTAGGGTTATACTATCGTAACCTTCATTCTATCTCACCCCTGGACTCTTTGGGTACAGTGGGTGGAGCCTGATGAATGAACGCTCTGTCGCGACCTGACATCATGGTGTAGTAGGAGGCTGCTCTTCTCCAGTTGATTGCAATCCCAATCTTGGTCAGGTGTAAGATCACCTGGGCTGTGTGGAACATAGCCAATTCCTTGGACTCGGCCATGATGAGGAGGTTGTTGAGATAAAAGAAGACCTTCATGCTGTGGCTGCACAGCGGCTCAAGTGCCTGTTTGGAACAGGTGGTGCCCCCTATAGACCGATTAAAAACAACTTTAACATACATGGCTCCAGAGGTGGAAAGTAACTAATTACATTTACTCACGTTACTGTAATTGAGTAGTTTTTTTGTGTAATTTGTAATTTTTTCAGTAGTTTCTGAAATCTGTAATTTCACTTTCACTTAAAGCTATGGTCTACGTTTAGAAGGATTTATCATTATTATTAACATCATTTAGATGGTGGTTATGGCCCAATAGTGCTAGCTACACAATGTGAAGAGCAGAAGGAACCAAAAAAATCCATTCCTTGTGGCGGCTGCAGGCTTGCAAAGAAATTGACCAATCACAGCCATCCAGTCCACATGGCTGTGATTGGTCAATTTCGCTCTGGTCCTTGCTCAAAATTTGCACTCTCTCTCTCTTACCCTCCGTCCAATCCCCTCGCTCCATTTTGACACTCCTCTGCTCCTCATCCCGCCTCGTCCCAACCCCCCTCCGCATTTGAAAGTACGAGCGGTGTGTAAGGCCCTGAGCGAGGGGATGTTGTGTTTGGAGCGATTTTCAGATTTTTGGAAGCAACAGGGCTTGTAAATAGAATTTAATACGTAGCATATTCTGTTCCACACTCCAGTCCAGAAGGTGGCGGTAATGCACCTAAACGTTGTTTGCCAACTGCCATAAAACGAAAGAAGGAGAATAAGAAGGCCCTGAGCGATTCAGCTACACGAGTTTCAATATGGAAAATGGCAGCAAGCGGCCTCTGCTTGCCCCACCGCCAAAGGCCGAAAGGAATTGTAAGTCTGCCTCTGAAAAGGCGGAAACGAAGAGGAAATGCGACAAATTGAGAGCTCAAAGCACAGTAAACATCGGGTCATCCTTTGACCGATGGAGAAAGCTCCGGCAAGATCTGGGCCTGAAAAGTGATGCTGATAAAACGGAGTTTTTGTTGAACAGGTAATATTTCGTTTTTATTGTGGATGTTGTGACATGGATAACTGTATGCCAATGCTGGCTTATGACTGTGAAAGCTGTTAGCGGTTACCTTCTGTGTGCCGGCCGGCTTGTTGGTTACGGGAGGGGGTGTGTCGTTAGGAGGCTCCGAGGGGAGGGGCACACGAGCTCGGAGGGGAGGGATCATGGAGCACAGAGGGAGGGGTGTGCGTGTGGGGGGGAATGCTTTTTTCAAATCTTTCTCATCGTCTTTCTAAACGTAGACCATAGCTTTCAGTAAATTTTAAAGGCGCGAGCATGTAGAGACAGAAATGACATGCCGTCATGTAAACAATATAAGTCATCACGTTGTAAGGTGAAACGTTTCACCGTATAACATGATAAATAGTATATTGTTATGTTATTATATGAAGCGTCCGTCGCACAAAATAATATAACTTTAGTTTATGAAGAGATCAGACGGAGCCCTCTCCTCTCCTCTTCTAGGCTTTACTCACAAGTGTGTGAATTGACTTGATATGAAGCGTGTGTAGCACCAAATAATATAACTTTAGTTTATGAAGAGATCAGACGGAGCCCTCTCCTCTCCTCTTATATGCTTTACTCACAAGTGTGTGAATTGACTTGATATGAAGCGTCCGTAGCACCAAATAATATAACGGTGGTTTCTAAAGAGCTAAGACAAAAACCTTAAAATAAATCAGCAGCAGCGGTCATATTTCAGCACCACCGCTGCTAGTTGCATATAGGGGAAACACTGCTGCTCAATGGATTTGTTCTGTTTTGGAATACACAGTACTCCTCCAAATTAGTGTTAGTGTATTTTAATATTCAGAATTCCGCTTCGACAAGCTCTCTCTTTTTTGACCATACACCTGTTTGCATCTGTGAGAATAACGCCCAACAACATTGCTCAAAAAGTTGCTCTGTGTATCATCAGTCTAACAGTTGTGTGTCAAAATGAATGAGGGCTGTGCAATATTAGACAAAACTGACAATGCCACGACAATTTTGTGTGCTGCCATATGTATTATATACAGTGTATTGCAATAACTTGAATAGCTCTATTTGGAAAGAAGTCATCATTTGGGATTTGGAAAGGCTGTATTTGCATGAAATATACATTTTACAATCAAACTGTCTGGAAATTGAGAACTTCACAACCTAAAGTATTAACCAGCAAAATAAGTATGGCATATTGCCTTTGACTAATATTATATTGATATGATGAACTTATACTGCGAGTCTCACGATGTGACTATTGCACAAGGACACATTGCGATGGTGATGCTCTAATGATATTGTGCAGCCCTAAATTGAATTGAATTCTGTGGTTCATCATAGAAAAATAACCAGTTTTTGGATTGGATTTATGACCCCTGGACCATTTCTGCACTGCATAGGAGTGACCCCCACGAAGTTGTTGGAAGTAACTAAGTAACTTCTACTTTAAGTACATTTTTAACAAACTACTTTTTACTTTTACTTGAGTAGATTTTTAGATGGGTAGCTTAATTGTACTGTTATTTCATCAAAGTAAAGGTACTTTTACTTGAGTAGAATTTTTCAGTACTTTTTCCACCTCTGCATGGCTCATAATTATTATTTAGCATATTCTGCATGTTTTGTAACGATTAGACAAGATATATTTCTGATTTATAATCTGATTTGTGTTATTGCATGCCCATTTTTTGTATTTGTGGTGCCCCCTAGTGGTCAACTTAAAGGAAACTTTCAGGATATGTTCCTGGAACCTCTGAAGACATTGCTTTCAAGGTTTGTGGTGATTGGCCCAAACGTTGTGGAGTCATTTGCTGAGCCACGCCCCCCTAAACGTTCATTGGTCAATATCTTCAAAAAGCAATGAGATATCACAGTTTAGGTGTTAGTGAAATAATTATGAAAATAATCTCACGTCATTCTGCTGATTTCAGGAATATTGTCAAATATTTTGGTGACATTTGGTTAAAAATGAGATGAAACAGAAAATGTTCTGCACACAGTACAAATTACAACAAGATAATGAACATCACTGTGAGCTAACTGTTAAACCAATCTGAACACCATTTGATACATGTGACATCTAGTGTCCACGGAATTTCTGTGGCAATGGTGGTTGCATTTAGATGAAGATTTTTTGAGATATGGATGTTAATGTTAATTTTGCATATTTTAATTGATGACAGGTTGCAGCGCGGCAAAGTTGCTGAAAGAAATTCAGCTCTGTCAGACACACTGGTGATTTGTTATGATTTTTTTTAATGTCGAATGAGTAATGTTTGAAATTGAGATTTAATGTAATAAGCCACGCCCTTTTAAGCAATCATATCCATATTTTGTGTACCGACTGAGACATGACCCTAGATGATGCCAACAGAATTCCATACAAATCTCTGTAGCTGATTATGAGACTTTTTTTTTTTTTTTTTGTATTTTTAGCACCCCGCTTGTGGTTGATTTGTATAAAACTTTCAGGGTGTGACTCTGATAATTCTGGTGACACATGTTGCAAACATATGATGTTTTTATGTTCCAGGACCAGCGGCCATCAAAGTGTTGGTGTCAGAAGGGAGTGATGTTACATTACCCTGTTCCCTCAGCACCAAGGAGAACATCGAGCAGAAACTCTTTGACTGGAGGAAACATGATGGTATGACGGGGGTGTTCATGTATGATAAAGGCCTCCATCACAACAACGGTGGTTCAGGTCAAGATGAGCAGTTCAAAGGTCGAGTCTTTCATTTCCAAGATGAGCTGAAACATGGCAACGCCTCCATCATCATCAGAAATACAAAGATGGCTGACAGTGGAGACTACACCTGCTTTTTTCCACTTCTTCAGACACCTCAAATATTCCACATTGATCTTGCTGTTGGTGAGTGTTTCTAAATACGAGCAGAGAGGGAGTGAACACAAAAAGCACATTATTACATTTCTGATCATGTAATTGTTCTTTCTAAGTTATTCTTTATAATGTGTTGACAGTTTCATCTCCAAAGCCATCTGTCACAGTCCTCAATGCCACAGATGATGGAGTGCAGCTGCAGTGTGAGGTTCATGGTGCTTCTCCAAAACCTAAAGTAGAGTGGAAGGACAGTGATGGAAACATCCTTCCTGCTGAAGAACCACAGGTCACAGACAGAGGAGGCAGCTATGACATCATCCTCCAAACTTCTGTGACCAAGACCGACCTCTATCACTGTGTGGTCACACAGGAGGAAATCAACCATCAGATTCATGCTGAGATATTTGTGTATATCATTGGTAAGTTTCCTCCTTGAGGTGCTCATGTGTTGTATTTTTAGTTTTGATAGATTTTAGCAGCACATTGAACTGTTCTCTATGTGTAGTCAATGATCAATCTGCTGTACATGATACACAGTTACATTTTGTGTGTTACATCAGCTTTTTGTCATGTGTTTCAGTCAACAGCAGGAGCAATATTCTTTTTCTATGGCTTCAAGTAGTAATGTTGGCCATTTGTGGAGTTGTTGCAGTTTGTTTTTTTCGGTGGTCTCGCAGGTATAGAGGTAAGTTTTAATAATATATTCTATCAGGGGATGGTGATGTGATCTTGTGTAGTTTTTTGTTGTTGTATTGCATTGCATGTTTTTAATTTTGTAGTTTGGACATTTTTGTACGTGGACCCCAGGAAGAGTAGTTGCTGCCTTGGCATCAACTAATGGGGATCCAAATAAACAAATAAACAAAATAAACAAATATCAACATATCTGTCCAGAGTCTTTACAGTTTTTTGTCTCTTCAGATACAAACCGGTCTGTGTTGCAACTCATAATGTAATAACGGCTCATAATGTAATAACGGCTCATAATGTAATAAAATCATGAGCACATAACGTAATAATGGCTTTGTGCATAATGTAATAACCTATTACATTATGAGCCTTCCTGGCGTTGCTCATAATGTAATAATGGCTCATATTGTGAGAAAACTGCTGCATTATCATCATTTTTACATCTCAAAGGTGCAAATAAAGCAAACGGCATGGGTTTCAGCGCATAGTAAACTAAATTAGTGAAACCAAGAATTATTTAATCGTAACTGTAAGAATGTAAGATGTATAAAGTTGAGCCACTAGGTGGCACCCGTGTTAGGTATTTTGGCCCTTTGAGAATGCCATGCTCACTTCCACTGTCTGATTGTTGCAGGTAAGCAGTTGGTGGAAAGTTTAAATATTATGACGGATGAAGACTGCTGCATAAGTATTAGTAGGTTATACAGAGTGGCTGGACGCAATAGTGGCCTTGCGTCCAATATCAGGCAGCTCTTCAGCCAAAATGCCAGGTGGATTACAGCCTGGATCGTGACTAAACATATATCCTTTGGATGGGTCCATATTAAAGACATTCATTGGAAGAAGTAAAGTTTTCTTTTCTTTTTTTTTTTAAAATCCCATTCACTCGTTAAGCCTTGATCTGAGTGAACACTGGCACAGTCACTGACAAATGGAGCCCCCTGGGCTTGATTTTTGTTGGCAACTATAAATAATGGTTATGTATTATTTATGCATATTGTTTAGTTAAATTTATTTGGACTTATGTTTTTACCTGGGTGTCCTGACAGGCTGTGTTTACATTTTAAGAACTTTTGAGCTGGTCCATTGTTATTACATGGTTCTAAAACGCTCTTCTCATTCTTGCAAAAATTCCAAAATAAAGTAAATTGAATGAATATATTACGCTGCTATCATGTATTTAACCTAAGTAGTAGGGAAACAATGCTTATTAAAAGTCTTTATTAAATTGGCATTAAGACCAACAATAAAATAACAGCAACATTTTGACTGGAAGGTCTTCACTAGGTTGTATGGAAGGAGAGAGTGATCACTTAATTATTTGAAAAGACCAATCTTAAATGTGTTTTTATTGTAGAATTTATTGTGTCCTGCATTTATTGTAGCAATAGTAAACACAGGAAATGCTCCTTTAAACTACAGGAACTACAGTCCCCCTCCTTCTTCCCTAATCCACCCTCTTCTCCAGCCGGCTTTTGAGTTGGTTACTGTCGCGCCACCTATAAACAAATCATAGTCAAACACAAACACAGACCTCTGCCCTTAAGTGCACTCTCATTATCAGTGTGTGCAGTTTTGACCAAAAAAGGATGATAATGCAACATTAATTATATTTCCAAATGGAAACTGTTGAATGATACGTTTGAAAATATATGTGTGAGTGCCTGAGTCGGATCAAGAAAGTTTTCTTTAATATATTTTTGTTTTACTTTTCTGCAGGTTCAAAGGGTTCAAATGGTTCAGCTGACAAGCAGCTCTGAAGAGGTATTGTATACCACTTTGCAAAACACAGTTACAAAGTGCTCTATGAGACAAATAAGATAGTATACACTATCAAGATAAAAAAGTTGAACAAAACCTCAGACCAGATACATCAGAGTGTGTATGAATAAATAAATAATGAAATAGATAAAGAAGGATAGAAACTAGACAAACAACAGATTTACTGTAAAAAGCCTTCTTGTAAAGTGTGTTTTGAGGAGTGTTTTTAACGAAGACACTGAGTTTGCTAACCTAAGTTCCTCAGGTTAGGAGATCCCCAGCTGTGGGGCTTTAACAGAAAATGCCCCGTTTCCTTTTGGAACAACACGAGCTGTGGGAACAGTTAGGAAGGTCCTACCTGAGGAGCGCAGGCAGCGCCTAGGCTCATAGGGCGTAAGTAAATCTATACTGTATGTTGGAGCGAGGCCATGTAGGGCTTTAAAAGGAATTAGTAAGAGTTCAAAATGATTCTGTACTTAACAGGTAGCCTGTGTAGCGTTGCAAGGAGGGGAGTTATGTAGAGTTTTGTCTCTTTGAATCAGTCAAAAGTCTGGCAGCTGAGTTTTGAACAAGTGAGTTGGAGACAGGAAATGGCCTTTTGGCTGAGCCCTGAGCACAGGGAATTACAGTGGTCCAGATGTGATGAGATAAAAGCATGAATGACTTTTTCAAGGTCTGTAAATAAAACTCTTTAAAACTCTCTTTAAAAATAACAATTTAATTTTCACAGAAATGACTGAAATGCTGAGATACAGGCCTGCTGTGAATTTAAAAAGAAAAAAAATCTTACACCTGTTGAAATCAAGAAGGCCTCTTAACCCCAAGGCCATAATTCTATCTTATTGCTATGGGCTACTTCATTTGCACTTTTCTAAGTTTTAAGGTTTGTCTCAGTATTATATTAGTATTAAACAATGTTTTTGTGTTTAAAGAAAAGCTTTAAGATTCAAGTATTGAGTGGTGTTTTAACACAAGTATGAGACTGAAGTGGCAGATATGTTTTAGGCCTTCACTGTGCTGTGTATCAGACTGTTACATTCAACCCTTTGATAATGACTGAGATGCCAAAACATACATCTTGTGTTTAGTTCATTCATGTTCGTGTCATTATCACAATTAAAAGTGTCATTGAGATTTGGTTGCAAGACTTCTGCAGGAGGCAAAATGATGTTGTATGATATTTTTATATTCAGACCAAAATACAAGATTTGAACTATGAACAAAATTTGCAACAATGCTGTAAAAGTGTCAAATATAGTGTAAAACATTTGTCACTTTATTCATATATTGTA